GCTTCTGCGGGCGAGGTGCAGGTGCGTCGTCGTGCTGCGCGAGCCACTCTGCGGTGTTTCTGAAGAACAACGTGAAAGTTTCCGTCAAAATAGGGGTACAAGTATCAAAGGGCCCCATGATATTTTTACCTCAGGGTACAAATATTATAGGTACCCCCATGATATTTTTACCCCGAGGTACAAAATAACGTAAGAAATGCACATGTTTGGCGTGCACGCCTTGCAGTAGGAGGCGGCGGCGAGGAATTCAGCAAGATCGCCGGTGGAGCTGCGGTGGCCCATCGAGACATGAAAAACTGAAAGACATTGTTAACAGGCGGAAAGCACGGGCGTGCGTTGCGCGCGGAGCAGCGGGGGCGGGGCAGGACCGCGACTTACCTGTGGAGTCTGAGAGCACGTCCGGGCTGAGGGGCGCCAGCGCCGACCCCATGGAAGACAGTCTAGCTCTGTTTAGCCCCGGCGAATTGGCCAGGGAGAGGCTGCGCAGCAGCTTCCACGGGGTCTTCGGGCTCGTCGAGCTGTCCGGGTAGGCGTTCATGAAGACGATAGGGCGGTGCGTGTGCGGCAGCGGCGTGGTCTAGACTGGAGCCCTGGAGCTGTCTGCTGCTGTCTGCCAAGCCGACGCCGGGAGGCTTCCGTGCCTCGCCATAGCCCAATAGGCGACGTTAGCAGCGCCATCTATGGTCAGAGGGTGAGTCTACGGAGAGCGGTTAGAGTGACCGCTGAGAGATGGCGCCAGCTCCCTCCCCCATCAGGCGACGTGACGCGGAACATTTGAAAGGAGCGCGAATCGTGTTTCGAGTACGGAAGGGGATTTGTTTCGAGCGTTGTGGCAGAATGTCAATATAAAGAAAAACTGAGAGCGAATTGTAAAAATGGGAGGGTGAGAAGGAATAAGAGACAGCGGGGGAGAGCGGTCCGGGGCGGGGCGGGAAGGGGCGGGGAGGTGGTTTTCCCGTACTTCCGCACAGCTGCTTTTGCATCCCAGTGGCGGCCAGGCCAGGCCGCGACCTCCGGTGACCCCACGAAAACATTTCGCGACCCCAAGGTTGAGACCCGCTGGGGTAACCTAACCTTATTTTCATAAAAAATAGTTGATCTTAAAAGTTTTGAATTCATTCTCATGCTTAATTTTGTTGCTTTCATGAGAGGAAACATGTTATCACTTCCAACCATTATCAGTGCTATCACATTTAGTTTGAACCCCATTGTGAACTTAGGGGTCGTCCACATATTACGTCACGCGTTTGGGGGGGAGGGGGGGTCTACGCTAGCATGACGGTCCTATACCAAAAGCATTAGAAGGTTAGGTTAGCCGCGTGACGTGGGGGGAGGGGGGGTCAAAAACTGCCAAAAATAGCGTGACGTAATATGTGGACGACCCCTTATCCGCTGACTATCATTTGCATATTTTTTATTTTAAGCCCTCCAGGTCACTAAGTAGATATAGTTGAAAATCATTGTAGTTTTGTAATTTAATACTTCCCTGACTACTTCTGAATATATTTGAGTAGGGAGAAGTGCTCCAGCTTTGATATTTTAGCCACAGAAAATATGAATGATTCCTTAAAGTTTCAGTAACGGTAATCTTGTTTTTAAACATGTAGAGACCATGACACCCATGAAAAGAATGCTTGCCTGATTCAGCTTCATGCCTAGCACCATTTAACATTGAAATAAAGCATGTCACTCCATCTTTTCAA